TTAATGAGGGGTCCTGTGTGAAACACAAGAAATGAGGTCTTGGCAGGCTGCCTTCCACAACAGAGTCCCAGTTGGAAATCAGTGTTGCGCCCTCTTCCTTGGTCCTCTAGAGCTCTGGGCTCAGGGAAGACTAGATGGAGCTGCCCTGCAGTGTGTGACGGAGTGTGGTGTTCCTCATCCTGGGGCTTGTTCTGCTGCACGTGGCCGGGCCGTGCGTGTGCTGCTGCGAACAAGCGAGACATAGTGCCCTCAGGGGGGCTTTGCTGCATGAAGGCTTCGTGCTTGACCTCCTAGCTCCTCTCTGCAGTCAGGGAAGGTGTCCTTCTTGTATGACCTCTATTTTACGGGTATGAGGTGAGCTCCCTATTCACCTTAAAGGCAAAAAGAAAAGAGCTCATTAAAAAGCCAGTGACATATCTTATAAAAAATCTTTTTTCTAGTATCTTTGCCAGATTTCTTATTCTCTTCCAATCCCCAAGCCTCCTATGAACATGTTCCTAGAGATGAACATACACATGTCCCTGTGTATGTGAGCACCTGGATCTATCATGTCCTTCAGAAAGCTCTGGGCAATGAAAGACCCTATGCAGCTGTACAGAATAATAACAGAAAGCAGAGCAGCCTGTGGTGGACTGAGATAACTTAAGGCTCAATAACAGGCCAGCTGAATTGAATAATATCAGCATCACGTTACCTCTTACAAGATGACAAGGAGATTAGCGATCCAATCATGACTTACTTAGCCTCAGCTGTGATAAAGACATCTTAAAGTTAAGAGGCAGAGGATGGGAGGATGTAAAACAGCTAGAGAATGGGGTCTGCAGAAATGGGAATAGGTAAGGTACATTCCAGAGGAATTACAGTGAGTAGGTCATGGGATGACTGGTCTGAGAGAGGTCAGTGGCTGAGGGCTAGGCCTCTTCTCTTGGAAAATCCCCAAGCTGCCAGATGCTGCAAACCAGGAACAGAGCCACAGCTTAGCCCCTGCTCCCTGTTGTTCTTTGTTGCCGTGTGCTGTAAGTAGGCATGTGGGATGTGTTTCCTGGGGATGACCTGCTCTGGTACCTTCTGGGAGCACAAGTTCAAGTGTTTGAACTTGGTGTTGCATCTGAAAAGCTGAGGGTTTGTTGGGCTTCCTTTGTGTGTCCAGACCTGAAAACCTGTGAATGAGATCTTATAAAAAATCCTTTAATGTAAGATGTGATCTTTAATGTAAGCATCCTAATGAATAATGGTGTTGCTTGTAGAATAAGGGAAAAAATATCCCTCTATAGTTTGTATAGGAGTTCTATTAGCACATGGCCAATGCTAGGAAAATACATTTTGTGGAAATACTCCTTTGTTTAGTCTTAGGGACAAGGAAGTTATAGCTTGTTCTTCAAATCATTCCGTAGCAGCTGACTTTGTGTTAGGAAGCTGCCGAATCACTGCAGAAGTCTTGTCCAGGTTAGTTTGGATCCATTGCTGTAGGATCAGCTTTCTCTGTAGAAAAATAAGAGTGTACAGAGACCCCTGAGTGGGAGGAATAGATTTATCCCCAGTGTGTTAATCAGTACTGCTCTTCTAAAAGCAAGAGATGCTGAGCCCTTCTCAGTATACAAGAAGGGTGAGGTTGGATATAAGGTTTGAGTTTGATTCCTGATGAATTCTGTAAATTACAGAAAAGAGATGTTCATGGCAGGGTTTGCATTTAGCTGTGCCAGTGTGAGAGTGTGTAGATATAAATATCTATTTATGGTATGATGGTATGTTTCCTTTAATGATTGTAGCTTGGGGCAATATCCCTGAAAGGGACCTTTAGACAAACAGAAGTATCAAGGTTTTGGGCTTACTTTGTTGACTCATTCCCACCCCTTCCTTCCAGGAATATTACAAGTCCCTAGGAATATTACCTAGGGTAAGGGCTGTTCTCTCCCTGTGCTGTGGGGAAGCCTGTAGCAGGTGGTTCAATTTGTGCATTGCCCTGACAGCTCCTTAACCATCCTCAGCTGCAGCCAGTACTTAGGGGAGAGGACTTTGTGCTCCTTGTGTGCATCTCTGTGCTGTTTCTGCATATACTTCAGGTAACTACCCAAAGGTGTAGTGCATAGCAGTGCTTTTGCTCTTGCATGTAGAAAAATTCCCAAAGAAGTGCGGTGTTTGGGGGGAAGCAGAAGCTGCGTGTCTCTGAAGTGCCTCCTGACCCTGTGGTTTCTGAAAAAGCTTTCGTTAGCTGGCGCTGCAGGGCTTCCTCGGCGAGTCTGGGGAGCACAGATGCTCCCGTGGAAAAAGATCTGTGCAGCGCGGAGAGACAGGAACACCGCTGCTGTCAAGTTGCATTAGGAGCAGGAGAAATGCGGTGATTTTTGTACGTGGCTTAGAGCTCTCAGTTCTGTTCCCCTTGAATTTCTCTTTGAGATTGGGACTGAGCCTCAAACTTAGGTAAAACCAGGTCAGATCAGGAGGAAAAAAAAAAAAGTAAGATAAAACTTCCCCTCCAACTTGTACTGTGGTAGGCATTGATTTGGAAAAGCGCTGGATTATCAACAGAGCGCTTGAGTCAAACTTGACCTTGTGCTTGTCAGGTTGGTAGCAGAGAGGGACACTGGGGCTCTAGCATGTGGTTTGCCATGGTGGCACTTGCAGCCTTCTGTGTGTTTTCATCCGTATCCCTGACATCAGCTGGTCTTGGGTGGTGTTCTGATAAATCCTAAAAAAAAATAAGGCACTACTATTAATGAGCAAATTTGTCTTATATTTGACTTGCCAGTGGGAGAGGTCTCCCTTCCCAAGTGAGTTGCATCATCATAGTATAGTTTAGACCTCACAAAAGAAAGAGAAAGGGGCTTTCTGTTTCGTTTAACATCTTCCTGAGCAAGGAAGAGCAGTCGGGGTCAGTCCTTCTCTCCATCTGAGAGGTTTTAAGACAATCTCTTTCCCCTTTCCTGGTACTCAGAAGGCTTCAAGCTGCAGGAGTGTGTTCTAAGTCTGTCTTGCTGAGAGCTCTTCCATTTTGTGTAAAGTACTTTCACATTAAAATTTAACCAGAGAATAGAAATGAGACAGACTCATTCAGGGATTCAAACACAGATCTTTCATATCAGGAAAGTGCCTATAAGTAAGTGTCTTTACTATTGTGGCTTTAGATAAAAGACAGAAAGTGGGCAGGAGCAAGGAAGGTGATGCAGTCATCTGTGCCTGAAAATAAATCTTTTTCTTCCCCTTTGCCTCAGTGTGTTTGTTAGAAAAGCAAGTTAAATAAAGCATCTGCATCCAACAAAATAGACTTTTAGTAAGAAGAAAGCAAAGTGTTTTGTTTGATCTAAGTCTCATTTTGATATATCTTGGCTTGTTTGACAGTGGCTCTTAGTAGCTGGCTAATACAGCTGTACTTTATTTGCTTCCTCCATCCCATAGTTGAGTTGTATAGAGACAAGCCCCTTCCGCAGTGTGCAGCAGGGGCTGCACTTGATGACTATGAAATCACTCTTTTTAAGACAACATGGAAACTGCTGCTGATTTATTCAGCAGCAAGTGTATGCTTTTGCAGATGCAAAATAGTGCCTGATTCTCCCCAGGCTGGTGGAGGGGCTGCCAAAGCTGGAAAATCCTCTGCATCTGCAGCTTGACGGCATCTTATGTCCCTGCTTGCTGCAAGGGGGGCTTTGGTGGCTGAGCGGCTGCCTAGTGCTGTCTTCAAAGGAAAGTTGTGCAGCTTGGCGAGATGGGGGCTCCTAATGGAAACACTTAACACACAACGTGACCAGAGTTATATAATGACTATGGCTTATTAAACAGTCTCACTAGAGGCAGGAAAGATGGGAGACTGGCTAGATTTTGGTATGCTACACTGGATTTTTCCTGCCTATTGAGCCAGCAGTAACTAGCTTTTATTTATTTACTCTTGGTGGGTGGTCACATAAAACTATAAACTGCTGCCACACTAGGAAAATCTACTCTGTAATCTAGCGAGTGTGTCTGTCTGTTCACGTATAGCCAGCTGTCTTGCTTTACTGAAGCAGGATCTGTGGCAAATTGTAAGATTCATGTGATAAACTGAACATTTCCTGAGTTCTTGATTGCTTAATTTGTGCTTGATCAGTTAGATAGAAGGAAGACTGGCAGTAATACTGTGGACCTGTGACATGTTAAGTATCTTGTGGCAAATCTTTCTTTCTCATATTTTCTTTTCCCTCTCCTGCTAGGTCATAAAATATTGTGTAGGCAGTAGGGGAGCTTCTAGTCAGTCCATGACTGACCATCTTGTGAGGAGCTGGGACTAGGAAAGGACCCTGTTAAAGGCAAAGAGTGATTCCCATCTATCTCCCAGACAAAATGTGGCATATGTTTCCTCCCTGGAAGGGAACAACATAAGGGATTTTAAAACGCCTCTGTTTTAAAGGTGGCCACAGATGCTTCAGAGGTCATTTTTGGAGGTGTTTTGCATCTGTTCTGTTTAGGTTTTTTCTCCTTGAGGCCCACACAGTTGGACTCATGCAGCCTGATTCAGCACTCATTTACTTTAGATTTGCACCCCTATAATGTTTTTGATTTAAATAGATTTTCACTTTCAAAAAACGAGAGCTACATAATAATGAATTAAATATATAGAAAGGAAGGTGCTTGGCTTCACAGTCAGAATAAGAAACTATAAGCAAATTCTTTGCAACCACTAACAAATTTTCTTCTAAATGAGCAGCACATCCAGAATACCTAAGTTGTTTGAAGGCTTTCAGTTGGCAGATAACTTTCAAGGAAGAAATGTGCCATCAATCTGTTACAACGCACAGTTGGTTGCAGCATAAAGTATTTTACCCGCTCATCTGATCTCCATTTTTATATGCCTGTATGTCTGCGTATATATGAATATTGTACAACCACGCTAGAAAGGAATTGCCAAAAACTGACTTTATTGGCCAAGCACTGCTTTATTCACTGAGGGTTTACGGGGGCTGCACAAATCGTGTCTCTTGCCACTTAGTTTATTTGGTATATCTAATAATAATTATTATTTTTTGCAGAACCCCAGCTGAAAGGAATTGTGACAAGGTTATTCAGCCAGCAGGAATACTTCCTGCAGATGCACCCAGATGGTACAATTGATGGGACCAAGGACGAAAACAGCGACTACAGTAAGAAAAATTAGCCTGTTTTGCAATCCATTTACAATCAAATGCAACACCTAGTGGGGATCACTTATGGCTTTTTTTTTTTCCTTCAAATTAAGAAGAAGCCAGCTGTTTTCTGCACATTTTTTTCTATACTTTCCCTTTAAATCTTGCCTGTATAATATCATATGTTTCCTCTGCAATCTTGTTCCCTCCCCCCCAGATTCCGTAACTGCCATCTGGGTGGGGTGGAGAATAAAACCCATGATTTGAATTTCTGCCAGAAGAGAAAGAAGATTATATTTATATGCATGCCACGTGGGTGAAGGATATGGGGAATTCTCTCTCCAAGGAGAAGAGGAGAAAATTGTTTTTCACTGTTTTATCCTGAAAAATTCAACAAGCATTAGGAATTGCCAGGCTGGAGAAAACTAGCTGTATACTAAAAACTCTAGTGTTTCTTGCTTAATCTGAAGGTTAGCTACTGAATGACCTTTCCCAAATGAGGCCTGCTTCTAAAACCCTGTTGAAAGGGATTTGATTCATATCATCCATCAAAGCATAGCAAAGTACCATAGCAGAGGCATCAGGTTTAAAAATCATGCTGATGTGCAGGAGCCGTCCTGGTTTACACACGCATACAAGTAGCCCCTCTTCCTTGCTAAAGAAGTAGTTTACAAATACTGAAGGTCCTTGAAAAGTCAGACAAGGTGTTTTCTGCAGCATTTCTTCATTTCAATTTCTTCATTTGGGCTTTCTGAGGGGGCAGTAGTGAACTCAGCTACTTGGTGCCGCTAGCCGCATCAATGCGGTAGGACTGAAGTTTCAGGTCTGGGTTATTCTATGTTAGCTTGAAGCTCTCAATGCCACTGCTGAAAGGGTATCATATCTAGCCTGCCTGCTAGGGAAGGTGTCTTCCCTGTCATTAATAGTGATGAACTAAAGGTGACCTGTGTGTTAGACCTGAGAGAAACAAACCTCAGGTGCTCTGTAGAAGCAGCAGCCTACTTTGAGGACAAGTCCTCATGCAAAGAGAAGCTTCTCGCAGGTTCAGAGACATCTTTCCTTAGAGAGGAGGCAGGATTCAAGCTGCAGAGGCAGTCTGAGGGTTTTCTGTTATAGCACAGCCCACGTAGCAGTGCCTTGGCATCATCCTGTGAAGAAATGTGCTTAAACAAGAGTGCAAGGTGAACATGGATCTGGGCAAGCACTGCTTGCCCAACACTGCGGAGTGTCCAGGGTGACGGATGGGGATGCTGTGTACGGTGAGGCTGTCTGCCCCAGCTGAATCTTGGCTGGTCTCCATGTGCAAAGCAGCGCATGGAAAGAGGAGCTTTTAGAAGGTACCTCGAATAGTGGAAGCCATGCAGCCCTCGTGATATGATCCAAGAGGCTGCGCTCACTGGAAACTTGGTCAGTGCAGCCTCTTGGAAACACCAGGAACAGTAGCATGCTGTGAGTGCCAAGTTTGAGTTCTTTTTCTTATGCTGGTGTTTAGCATATTAAAAAGAACAAATTACAGTGATAAAACTTCTAATTTATGTCAGAGCATGTAAGAGGAAGGAAAGGACTTCCTCCACTGTTGCCTGCAAGTGAAGAGTCTGGCCTTGTGACTTTTCTCAGGTAAAAACTAACACATATGAGTTCAGTGAACTTTAACATGTGGTTAATGACACAATGTTGGGTCACATTAGCTGTCTTTTTTTTTTTTTTTTTTCTTTTCCTTTTTAACCAGAAGCAGTAGGATGTCCTCAGTATGAAGAGGAAAGTCCCACTGGAGGCCTATTTGTCAATGACATGCAAAGAGCTGCTAAAGATGACAGGAATTCATTACCCTCATCTATCAGTGTGGACCAAACAATAGAGTAATGGACTTAAATGGAAGCAAGAATGAATTTAGGTAAACACAAGGGGAAAATAAAATGCAAGAACGGTTCTGCAATATTTGAGTGTAGCAAGTGAGATGAGAAAAGCTGATTCTGGCTGTGTCTAGGCCCATGCAGTAGGCACCTTGTGGGTCCCTGAGACTGAGATGGGCCTCAAATTGTCCAAACAATTGTCTCAGTTGTGGATTTCATTAGAAATCTTACAGATTAAATTGAGGAAGTGTTGAGTACTTGAGCCATCTCTCCTTAAGTGGAAATAGAGGGGCTGAAGGGCACTTGTAAAGCTTAAATCTCTTTCCAGTTAGACAATGGTCCAACCTTGGCTGCTTGGTGAGATAGGAGGCATCTGGCTCAAATGTGCCAAGCTGGTCATTCAAAATCAGAGTCTATGACAAAGTTTTAGTCAGTATGTGTTCTGTGAGTTTGAGGTAAAACTGAGGCCAAAACATTCTTCATCCCATCTCCTTTGTATGGAGAAAGAAAGGAAAATAGCCTAATCTGATAAATTTGGCTTCTGAAAATGAACTGAGGATTGAGCTTTCAATGAGTTTTAATTTCGATCATGTACTCCCCTTCTTTGTAAATCATCAGTTTTACTCAATTGCTTGCTTTATAGGAAGCTTCAAAATTAAAGGTTATTTCAAAGCAAAACTCTTTTTTTTTTTTTCCATTTTGGAAATGCCAGTGTAATGCACTCTGACTATTTTTTGCCTGTATAATTTCTTCCAAACCTCTCAAGGATTTTTTTAATCAAAAAAAAGTCAAAACTCATTTAAGTGAACGGTTCCAGATCTATTTTGCTCATATTTTCTGATTTTTTAAAAGCACTTCTCCAGAAGATTCCTGACCAATAAAGAGGTGCATGCAGTATTTCTGTGCAACGCTGAAATTCATCAAAGAGTAGAGAAGTAGTCTTTCCTTATTCCTGGAGGAGACTTGGATTAATTCATATCCTTTGTCAGAGGAGGATGATCCTGGTAGCCACAGCAGAATCTTTTCCAGACTGGATGGTCATGTATTTTCCATGCAGAAGCTGTCTGAACACTATTAATACATAGTGGAACACCATGTTCCATACATCCTGGCTCCATGTTCTACAGATTATTCAAATTAGCCTCATGAAAGGAAGCTTAATTTTCATGGAATACATTAGGTTGCCTTACTCTGGTAAAGTCAACACTTAAAATGAGACCTGATGTGTCCCTTAGTTGTCTAATGCAATTAAATTCTAATAAAAATCTAGATATTTGTATAAGGGGAATACAATATTCCCCTTATGCTAATATTTAAGCAATTTTTAAATATCTGATGCCCATTTTATATATGTTCTTGAGAGGCTGATGGCGTTTATTTTCCACTCCCTTTCCCTTAAATAAAAGCGGGGGGGACAGAATGCAAGTTCTAATAGCATTTGAAAGGCATGCAGCCAGTTTCCTATGAAAGAGCACTTGGGACATCTGTTCCTTATACCATGCAGTTAAAGACATGCCACCTTAATATAAGCAGCAAGATGGATTCTCTTCCTACTTGTATTGGGATTCATGAGGAAATGTGTGTGTGGGGAGTGTCTGTTTTTTATTTTATTTTTTTTAATTTTGCTTTTGTTTTAATTGGACTGAATTTGCATGGATGCCCTCGTCTATGCTTTTAATATCATGTATGAAGCTGTATTTGGGGCAGTAACTTTTCTTTCCGACTCCAGGGATTTCACATGGTCTTTCAGGACTGATTCTTGCTCTTGGGGCTTGCATTGTTATGGCCCGAGCTGAGGGTGGTAACCTCCATTCTCATGAGAGCCATCTGACTCCTTAGTGTGCTAGTGTAATCCTTCTGAACTTCTGCAGATCTCCAACAAGTAGGCAATGGGTAAGGGCAGGTCACCTCTTCTGATCACATGCAAAAGGCCCAATGTATCTCAGTTAGGGCAGCCTTATCAAGTGTGCATTGGCTATCCATGCAGAGCAGAGGTAGTTTTGATTGGGGCTTTCTGGACAGACACACTGAAGCATGTAAAGCATGTGAGGTTGGAAGAAGTTTTTGAGGTCTCCAGCCTACCCTGTGCAAAGCTGGGCTGTCTTAAAAGTTAGATCAAGTTGCCTTATTCTAGTTCTGAATATTTCCAAGAAGGAGGTATTGCATACTCTTAACATCCCTGGTTCTAGTACTGCACAGCTGTCACTAAGAATAGCATCAAAAAAAAAAAAAGGATCAGTTGTAAATCCACCCTGTGAGTGAATATGGTAGCAAGGGAAAAGAATCAGAAATAGTCTGTGTCATTTTGTTTTGTTCTGTGCATGAAAAAAAAAGTCCATCTCATACAGTTGTAGATGGCATAGAAAATTTACCATTCCCAACAGAAGGAGAGGCTTTAAAAACATCTACTGCATGCCTTTTCCTTCAAGTCACCAAACCATGTGTGCAGTCCTACCTTGCCACAGCTATTTCTTTTTTTCTCCCATCCCTACATCTTGCATTTTGGGTTAAGGAGAACTTTTCATTTTCCTGACACAAAATGAAACAGCTTGGTTTCTGGACTGATTGGAGGAGAGGAGTGGTTTTTGTTTTTTTCTGGATATATATATATATATTTTAATTCTTACAGGTGAAGCTTTGACCTTTTTAAAAACAAGTATTTAAAAAAAATAAAGCTTCAACTTCTGAAGCGTGTTTGTCTGTTTGTTTTTTCTGGAATTGGGTGTGGAAATGAGAATTTTTCAGGCCTGTGAATGTGCCGGGTTTGGATTGACCCAAAAATACCTCAGTAGAAGAAAACATTTGGTTCCTAAAGTATCCTTGGCTGTCAGTTACGGGTGTCCCGGGCCTGCCCGTCCCCTTGCCTGCCTGCCCGGCAGGGCCTGCTCTGCTGTGCCTGAAAGCTGTGACTGTTGGCGCTGTTAGCGCAATCTGCAGCATAGCCCCAAAAAGCAGGGGGCCTGGGGACCGCCTGGCTGCCCTAACACGGAGCTCAGCGGGTTGCTGCTGTTCCCCCACCTTAGCTGTGTGTGTGTGTGTGGATGAACGCGATCCGCAGGCACCTGTGTGCTTCCGAGGGGGCTTCTCGCCCACTGATTCTGGGCATTATCCCTCTGCTGCCTAATGAATGCTTTGTCACAGGTTTTCTATGCAAGACAAATTGGCTGTGGAGAATGAATGATGATGCCCATTTGGTTTCATTATTAGCAGTAATATGCTCCATTTTTCAGTGGGGGAGGGAATGGGGTGGGGAGTTGCTTATAAATAGACTTGTTATTTGTTAGAGGGCTTTAGACCTTCATGATAGTGACAGAAGTATAGGAGTATAAGCTCTCCTTTTTTTGCAGGAGAACTGTAATAAAATGCAACTCTTTAATGCTGAGCAGCTGCACTGGAGCTATTTATCCCATCTTGGGACTGTATCAAAGTAGCTCTGTCCATGACTTGCTGACAGACCGATCCACACGCTGGGCTTCATTTACCATATTCAGCTGTTGAAGTGCTCCCCTCCCTCCCATGAAGTCACATGAAATCTAGGCACAGGCTCCAGCAACAGTTCAGCAAATGTTTTGGTGTTTTACTGGATGTGATGCTTAAAGTTGTGAAACGGGGTTAGGATCGAGGTTAGTTTTGTCATGCTGGAGGTGCTTTGCTTTTAGGCAGCTCACCTAGGGGAGTCAACTAGTCTTCCTTGATAACTCACAGAAGTGAGAGATTGAAGTTGGGATTCATGAATCCCTTTTCAGAGACAAACTTAGAACTAGCTTAGCCTGGGGCACCTAATTGTTAAACACCTTTAGTAAAGTTACTTTTTGCGTTCCCTATCTGTATGTTTTCCAAGGTACCCTAAAGAAATACCTGGTATTCAACTGTGACCTCTGAGCAAATCTACCCAATCAGAGTATAACCAATTTCCAGTTCTTTTCACACCCTCTGGACTCTGTTTTACTGTATAACTTGTGTGACTTTAGTCAAGCTCTTGTCTGCATCACCGCCTGCAAGAGTCAGAACATATTTTCATTTCTTTTTTTCTTCTTTCTTTCCCTTGATTACTTTAAATACTGTTGTCTTCTAAAACATTCCCCAAAAACCTCTCTCTCTTCTGCAGTTATTCCCAGACTGAATGTAATGGGGGTTTTTAGGAAACGTATCTCGCTGGGTGCACATCTTTCCATGTTGGAGTCAAGTCCATGTGCCTCTCTTGGCATGTCTACGTATAACTGGTCTCTTGAGGGGCTGGAGCTGAGTTGGATCTGAGTGATCTCTTTCTGTCCTACCAGGATTAATGATGGCTGGGGTCTTTCCAGAGACTAATTTGGAAGGACAGGACCAATTTTTGTGCGAACGCCTTGAGTGAAACATATCCGTGTAATCTGTGTGTCTGTTTCTGCCTGATTCTGTGCCTAATTTTTCTGTACTGGGAGCGCCCTTGGACAGGGTCTAGTTAGCTCTTTCTAAGCTGATGCACAAGGGTTCCTACAGCATCTGGGTGCTCTTGTCCTACAAATCTCAGCTGAAACAAAGCAACACTAATGCATCAGTGCTCAGTCTATCAATGCTCTTTGTCCTCTTCCCTTTGAGCTGGTTATGTTAAGAATGTAGCAAAAGTGTGACTTTATGGTAATATGTGTGCTCATGGGAAGGGTTATTTGCCGAAATACAACAGATGGAAGTGACAGAAATGCTTTGATCAATAAGATTGCTGTAAAATTGAATTTTGAAAGCTCTTATCCTTTTCCGTGCTCTCTAGTGCTTTTCCTGAATGTATAAGAATCCTGGACTTTTGGAATAGCCCTTCTTGGGTTTCTTTATGCCTTTGATAGCAGAGATCGGAGGACCAGTCATGTAGTCAAGTTAATTCACATCATTCTGGTCATGGTAGCCGTCCATATACTCTTTCAGCAGATGGCAAATGCAAATGCAAAAAAAAAAAAAAAAAGTGTGACTGGGCTTAAGTCTGTTTTGGGGTGACATGAACTAAGTTGTGCTACCTTGTGTTTACCACGGGCAAAGATGTGTACGTGCGCAGTTGCTGCAGCTCAGCTGGCCCACAGTACCTTGTCAAAATGTGGTTGGGTTGAGTGTGTATCTGGGCCCTTGACATTGCAAAGACTGTAGCTCAGACATTCTGGTGGATATATTTAGGCTGTTGAGAGGCAGATGAATTCAGTACTCTTTAAAATTTGCTTTCAGCATTGACCTCATGGCTACAGACTTTCCTGTGTCTTGAAGCAGGACATTTATTTCTAATTCAGTATCTCTTACAAGAGTCAGGAGTGGGGTGGGTTGGCCCAAAGGAGAGACAAAGTGCGGGGTATGAATACTGTTGTTTTTCTCTTCCTTCTACAGCCCTTTTCAATTTAATTCCCGTGGGTCTTCGTGTGGTGGCAATCCAAGGGGTGAAGGCAGGTCTATACGTTGCCATGAACGCTGAGGGGTATCTCTACAGCTCGGTAAGTACTTCGCACTGCTGGGCTCCTGGAATGGTTTGGGTCTGTAGGTGGGAGGGGAAAGGCTGAACGGTGACTTCCAAACAGCTTTTCCTGAGAAAGGTCATGGATTTGAGACCTTTAAAGGCAGGAAGTGGTTGGAATTGCTGCAAAGTCAAGCGATGCTCACTGTTGTGGTTTTGTGGTGTTTTGTGTCAATATCTTATAGCCTGTGAAAACAGACTTCTGTTTTCTTTTGAAGAGTTCTTTAATGTAGGTTGCAATGTGTGTGTTTTTTTTTTTCCTGGTTATATTCTGTTTATATTGCAATAGCTGAATAGAATTGTACCTGTGTAGCTAATGGGTCCTACTCTGCTTTTGACTGCCATGAAAATCCAACTAATTAACACTGACTTCATTAAAATGGTTCTGGGCTATTCTGTTGGCATTCTTCAGCTGCACAGAATTCCTTGGATTTGTGTGGTCTTTTTAATGCACATAAAAGACAACTAAGACATTTTTTACTGACTGATTCCCCTGTAACTTTCTTAGATGGCATGAAAGGGCATGAGGTTATTTGTAAGATTCTCATTTGAAGTAAGTAATTGATTTTCACAGTGAATAATTGATTCAGTGATTTATTAAATATGGCAGCCCTTTGCCAGTTTTTTTATGCTTCAAATAACTTTGCTCTAGTTCTACATAGTAAAAACTGATGGTTAATAATACACTTCTCATTTTGTAGTTATATCTTTAAAGTGTGTAGTCTAGATTCTAATCTCATCTCCATTCATGTAAATTTACAGCACTGTGATTCCGCTCTTATCTAGACATTTACTTTGCTTTAAAAACATGTGTAAGGTTGGAGATAGGATCTGTAAAAGGACAATAGCCTGTATAGCTTGGGGAATAAATGTCGATCTACCTAGCATATATGCTTTGCTGTGAAACTTTGGTCTCAAGAATGGACTCTGCTCCTTTTCCGAGGCAAAGCCAACATTTATGCTAGCTCCTGGAGTAGTATAAGGCTGTTGGCTCACAAGACTAACACCAGTGATATCTATGTTATGGTTAGCGTTCCAGTAAGTGCAATGTACTGTCACATAAGATGCAGCTTGAAGAAGGCTTTGTAGCCTGTAGTAGAAAAAAAAATGATCATTGAGATGTGTATACCACATAGAATATACATCTATGCACCAGAAGGATATGTGGCTCTAGTTTTTATTGATCTCCCTGACAGCTGACAATTAATTTGACTTTTGGTTTCCTCGTAGGCATTTTGTGCTGCAAGGTCTGTGGGCTTTACTTTGGAGGACTTTCAAGTACTTATCCCTGTAAGATCATTCCTTCTCATAGAACTGAGCTCTTTCAATGCCGCTAATGTAGTTGAAGCAGCTTGAGATGGAAAAGGCCAGCTTGCTCCTACACAAACTTCTCTAACTGGTATCATCTGTCTTCTTTCCTG